TTCTTAACCTGGTAACAGAAACCATACTTATTTAGGGTTAAAATGTAAGGATTTGTCCAATAAACCTATTTTAAAATTGTAACTTTTTATAGACCCAATCTGGCTTGTTACAAAGAAGCTTCTTTGCAAAAGGGGCTTCTCTTTTTGGGAAGGGGGGGGGGGGGGGACGGTTGGAGGGAGGCATATTTGTGTATTTCATCTTCTACATCTGTAAAAAAGACGTAGAAGATGAAATACACTTTTTAACTCTGTGACCTGCGTATCAAGAAAAAAGAAGTACTTTATTTGAATACTTAAACAAAGAATACAGAATATTAGTAAACAGAATGGCGCCAGATGATGTTTTTCTGTTGTTAGTAAGCCCTCCGAGCAAGAACAAACCAGTGCAAAAGTTAATTGCAAGATACGTATTCGACTGCTACGAGAAAAGAAGATCATTAGTTCTTTAGGTTAACATTGATTATAGTTCCACTAGTGTGCAATTTGTATTATGATTTTAAATTATTTGGATAAAGTCGATGTACATAGGACTGTATAAGACTCCAAATAAAGCATTGTCTTGTCTTGTCTATATGTATGTACAAATATCTGCATGAGAGTATACTGTAAAAGAAACCTTTTTTCAAGTTCAATTCTGAATCTGAATTATTCAGAGCAAAACCACAAAAGGTTCTGTTTTGATTGAGATAACTTTTAAACTCAACTTCGGAAGTGTCAACGACTCAATATTCACAGGAAGTAAATTTTCTCTTCCACCGACGAATTCAGAATGTCAGTCACTCGTTTTACCGGCAACGCCGTAATTGTTAGTTCAGGACGTTTTTCTTTGACGGCCTCCTGAACATACTTCAAATCTTCTTCTGAACAATCTCCTTGCTCAAAATAAACGTCTTCAAGTTTTTGTTGTTCAAGCAAGTATGGGATCATTGATCTTACTGCGTGTCCGACTGGATTGCCCATCAGGTACAGCATTCGAAGATCAGGAGTGAATTTTAAATTCTCGAGTAAACCAGACAAGTCAGCTTCATCCATATCTGAGTCGTCAAGTCCAAATACTTGCAAGCAAGGGAAGAGGCACAGGCTTTTCATAAGTGGAGCAAGACTTCCTCTCGCAGTGAAACCAGTGAACCACAATTCCTTTAAAGAAGAAGGTCTGTTAAATCTGCCGAACAACGCCTCCACTTCTTTATGCTCCAACCTGCATTCATCCAGGACACTTATCCTCAGTGTTTGTAAGGCTGATAATTCAGGCAGCAACTGACTCAGCGACTTAGCGACTGATAACTTCAGGTTGATTTTAAAGAGTTCCAGTTCAACATAAGTCTTGTGCTTAAGGGCGTCAATCAATCTTGTTACTGCTTCATCAGAGCATTCATTCCAGCCACTTATTTTTAGTGTTGGTGATGACCAACCAAAGATCTTAAAATCCATCTCTAACTGCAAACTACAACCCGCACACCAGCCTGATATCTGCAGTGTTCTTAAAGCTGATAATTCAGGCAGCGACTGACAGAGCGCTTCGACCACTACTGAAGTTAGATTGATATCTCTCAGTACCAGTTCCTCGAGTCGAGTTATTTGCTTGATAGCGGCAAGCAATCTTGTTAATGTTTCATCGGAGCAGTCAAGTAAGCAACTTATCTCAAACCTTGTTAAGGCTGATAATTCAGGCAGCAACTGACTCAGCGACTCAGCGACTGATAACTTCAGGTTGATTTCACTCAGTTTCAGTTCATCAGGAGTCTTGTGCTTAATGACGTCAATCAATCTTGTTACTGCTTCATCAGAGTATTCATTCCAGCCACTTATTTGAATTGTTGGTATTGATTGCCAACTAATGATCTCTGTCTCTATCTCTAACTGCAAACTACAACCCGCACACCAGCCCATTATCTGCAGTCTTTCTAAAGCTGATAATTCAGGCAGCGACTGACAGAGCGCTTCGACCACTGCTGAAGTTAAATTGATCTCTCTCAGTGCCAGTATCTCGAGTCGAGTTATTTGCTTGATAGCGGCAAGCAATCTTGTTAATGTTTCATCGGAGCAGTCAGGTAAGCAACTTATCTCAAACCTTTTTAAGGCTGATAATTCAGGCAGCGACTGACCGAGCGTCTCGGCCACTGCTGCCGTCAGGTGGATTTCACGCAGTTCCAGTTTCTCTAGAGTCTTGTGTTTGATAGTGGCAAGCAATCTTGTTAATGCCTCATCAGAGAAGTCAGGCAAACAACTTATCTTCAATATTCGTAAGGTTGATAATTCAGACAGTGAATTACCGGCTTCTGCTCGCTTTAGACGCAACCCACTAAGCTCCAGTTCCTCAAGAGTTTTGTGTTTAATAGCAGTAATCAAACGTGTTGCAGCTTTAGCTGAGCATTTAGCCAAGTTGAGGTCGAGATGAGTGACGGTTTCAAACCTTGGTAATAAAGACGCAAGCTTCCGCACTGCTGCGATTGAACTTAACTCAGAAAACCTGATAGACAAGGAGCATTTGTGAGGATTTGGCACTTGCTCCAAGAGATAATGTAGAGAATTATCTTGGCTTGAAATTTCAACGCGTTCCAAATGATTACAGTGTTTGATGACTTCACCAAGACCTTTCATTGAATATCGAAAAGTAGGACACTTGAGGGTTTTCAGAAATTTTAGAAATAACTGTCCTGAATACGAATGCACTGCATGAGAAAAAAGAACATGGCTAGAGAATAGCCTGACGTGGTCTTTGCACGAGAGCCGTAAGTGTGTAATGTAAAGGTAGACCTGGCCATCACGAAAACAAAGTACTGAGAAAAAACCACACTCTTTACAATTTCTAATACTTAGAAATTTTTCTAAAAATTCTGCTACATTGAGATTTTCAGAACCGTCAGTTACCAGCATTTTAACCACCTTGTTATTCAGTGTCAAGACTGAGTCTGTGGGATTTATAAAAAAACCACTTGTTTTCCCAAAAACCAAAGACAGGGGGTTAGCTTCCTTTGTCCTTAACAGAAGGTCTTCAGGAAAGGATCTTTTTGAGCGAAGAAGGAGGACACTTCCAAGGCAATCCAAACAAGGTCTTGAAAGATCAGCTTTTGGTTCGACCCTCTCAAATAAATCCAAAACCAAATCGCTGAACTGCCACTGACGCTCAGTGACGTCACTTAATGGCGCGTCTGTTTCGCTTTCTACGTCCGGGACTGTCTTAGATAAATCCAGCGAAGGATCTGAGATTCTAACAGACTTCAAATGCTTGAAAGTCGCAAATGCTCCATCTTCGCTCAGATCACAGACAAACTGCAAAACATTCTCCAAAGCCAAGCACTCCTCTAACTTCAATCCAATTTCACCAAGATTTCCGCCTTCAGGTATACATCTGTAGGTGATGTACCATGCGGCCAGAAACTCCTGTATGCTCTTGTGAATAAAGGAAACCATTCCAACAGGTTGTGAGGTTTCTGAATATTCTGTGATTTGAAGCAAACCAATGAAGACGCTTTCATCACAGCGGACAGAATCGGATAACTGACTATATTCAAACAAATGATCATCCTTCAGGAGACCTAGTATGGCAACTTTACCTATTTCAGAGAGGATGTCTTTGAAAGATTTTAGCTCCACATACTGAGGTGCTTTTTTTGTTTTATCACCTGTTTGCTTGCTATGGCTGTGATTTAAAATGAACTGGATGATGTCCATGTACAATGTAGTCTTCGATTTAGGAAAGCTTTTTGACTGCCCTTTTCTCCACAGAATACAGAAAAACAGGAGAAGTAAGGGGACTTTCGCCAGTTCCTCTAATTGTCTCTCATACAAGTGATCCTCTAAGTTCGACACTTCTTCGCTGTTGAGGAATCTACTCATAAAGCACTCTCTATCTTCTTCACTAAAACCAATGATTTCAGCATGAAGGTCTTCACCACCTCGTAGCTCGTCAGCTTTGGAAATACGAGTTGTTATCAAGACACAGCAGCTTCTCAGGTTGTTTCCACTGAAAATCTCGTAAATTTCTGAGTCGCGTCCACAGCGGTACTCGTCATAGCCGTCAAAGATCAGAAGAACTTTCTCTTGGTTGTTAGTGATGTAATCAACGAGGCCTTCTGTCATATATTTGTCTTCCTTTGCAAACACATTGGACAGTGTTATGACATCTCTAAGGCTTTGACATTTGGACACTTCTTTGAGATTCACAGCAACCACAAGCTCAAAATTCTTCAAAACAGCTGCTTGCTCATCACCAGTCCCCTTGCTAACTCCAACCCAATCAACAAGCAGTTTCTTAACAAAGGTGCTTTTTCCAATTCCCGTCTGCCCTTGCACGAGAATTCTCTTTGGAATGACGCCGTTCTTGTTTGCTGTAAAAAGTTCAGTGTAATGCTTCAGTTCAGACTGTGTTGTTCCAGTTGGCGTCTGTTCCTCTTTCACCCAGGACAGTCTTGTGTAGATCTGGTGAATGTCAACAACGGATTTTTTACTCCAAACAGAAGTGGGCACAGTTGCTGTTTTTTGGTAATGATCATCTAGTTTGTTTCGACAGGAGTTCAGGTCGAACGATTTCATACATGAGGCTTCTGGGAGAAAGAGAAATTTAGTCAGTAGTCAGTAGCACGTCCAACAACACGTGGTATAGACTAAACCAAAAAGCTTAGCTGCCATAAAACACGTTAAAACGAATTAGAAAACTGACAATATAATTATTCACATAAAAAAACCCGAACCTGTCTCTAAATTTGACAGAAACGATTAAGTTTTCACTTCACACCTTCTCTGAATGATAAAACGCCATTAATTATGAAATGAACATATCTAGAATTTGAAGCCGTTCCCCTAACCGCACTCCTGTTTAAACAAGTCGTAAGGACTCTACTGCGTTTCGGATTTTACACTTTTATTAAAACAAAATGTCTCCACCCTTCTATTAGACTTTAATCACCCCTTGACTGTGCACAGGTTCATCGCCGTCAAACGAAAGAAATTTGCGAAAGCTAAGCAAAGTGCTTCAAAGTCAAGGCTGTTAAATTCTCATTTTAGAAATTTGTCAAGAATATGAGAATCCTCTCTTGATTTTCTAAACTTTAAGACAGTTTTCGTTATAGAGGCGGAGAGGGAAAGGATGATTCTTAACCCCTGAGAACATAGGTCTATAACCCCTCCTTAAAGTGGTTCAAAAGGATTCATAACTCCTCTATTAAACAAACACTTCCATTAGTGCCTGAATTAGTATAATAAACAGATTGAGTTAAAACCAAGGGCTTCACTTAAACTTAATAATCAACCTGAAGCTCAGAACAAAGTACAAAATAATCATATACTTTTCAGATTTGTAAGGGTGAGAGTAGGAAATCAAAAGAACTATTTGACCGGGTTATTCTTGGGTCTCAAGATTGGCCACCACGTGGCAAAGTCAATTCTTAGCGCAAAACTAGAACAATAATGGCTCAGGCACTTCCACTTCCACCCCGAGCATTTGTCATTTTTTTTTCTTAGGAAAGCTGCAATTGTCCAACAGTGAGGCCAACAGATTCATACAAAAACTGCAGAGAGTGGCAAAGGAGTGCAAATGCCACACCCTGGGGACGAGGCAAAAGGTATGTGTCCTTCATAAGAAGCTAAAAATCGCATGCACTGAGTAAGTTGTCGAAACAGTATTAACTTTACTTACAAAAGTGAAAAATAACAACACATTGCTTGATAAAAATCAACTAATTCGAAAAGAACGTCATGACGGTGGAAATTTTACCACGAACAGTAAATGTACTTTGCTGTATAAAACTTTACATAAATTTTAAGGCAGCAATAATTAATGTTTGCTTACAAAGCTAATTTTAATTCTTTTTTTTGTAACGCTTCTTAACACATTCTTTTTCATAGCCTGAGTATCAGGTCTTCCTAAGGGGGTGGAGAAGATGAGATTCGCTCTCTCTCTTTCGCTTCTCTATTTCCACTTCCCCCAGAAACGCCTCAGAACTCAGGCTATTTTTTTCACAATGGGGTGCTCTTCTCTTCAAAATCCGCCACTTTCATCTGGTTGACGTTCGGTAGAAGGCAATAACATTTTGATTAAACAGAATGTCTTGAGATACCACGTCTATCTTTAAGCTTCTACTTATGCATTTTTTAAATGTCGTGGATTTTTTAAATAAAAGTCAAAGAAAAGAATAAACTCATATATGACAAATTCCCAATCCCGTGTACAACTTTGAAGACAGATACCCCACAGTGTGGGAACACAGCACTTAACAAATTCCCGAAGGGGATGGGCATGCTTAAAATTGTCTGAGCCATAGAGCCATATCCCTTGGAATAATTAATAAAGTGTTCACTGATTTTAAGTAACTCCAACTTTTCGATCTGTGGATATTTCATAATCCGTACTCACTATCTAAAAATCCATAACCACTCCCTATAGTTTTTCATCTTCCTAATCTGTCGCAAAAAAAGAAGCCATTTTGAATCGCGTCCCAAAACAGTGAATATCCAAGGATATTCTGAGTTACGGGAGCCAATCAAAACGCGCGGAAATTTCGAAGATCAGTTAGTTTTGATGCAATTAATTATTAAGTAAGCACTTACTTCAACTGACAAAAAATATAAGCAACAGGTTTTTTTAAAGAAACGAAAAGAAATAGCTAACACTGCACACACCTGGTTTGTCAGTCTGTGTCATCCAATTTTTCACATCCAGTTCCATTTGCTCCACTTTGCCATCAGTCTTGGCACATCTTTGCTGCAGTTGATCTACTTTAGCAACTGCTTCAGAATGATTTTGCTTTAACATTTCAACATCACCAACTGTTTTAATATTACTTTGCTTCAGGCGTTCTACTTCACTTGTTTGAGACTGTTCCAGTTGATCTACTTTTCTAAGTGTCTCAGTGTGTCTTTGCTTTAGCAGGTCTACTTCAACAACTACCTTTGTTTGACTTTGCTCCATTATTTCTACTCTGCCATCTGTCTTAGCAAGGCCTTCTTCTACCGCAAGAAGTCTTTTGGATAACTCTGCTTCAAAAGACACCAGTCTTTCTAGAACCTTTTCCATCTCTCCAATGCTCTCTAATACTTCCTGTACCTTCTCTTGTACGGAATAAAGATGTTCATCATGTGCATCTAGCCTTGCTCTCTTGCATGAACTTTCATCTTTAAGGATAGCAACATCCTCTTCAATTTCACAAATTTTCTTGTTCTTTAGTCTCATTCGTGATTGGATGTTCTTGATTAGGACCCTTACTTCCTGTTGAAGTTCTTTATCCACAGCATGTCCCATAACCAGATGGCATCCTATAATAAATTTAACCACATAACATTTCAGTTCAGTGGACTTTTCAAACTCAGAACGTTGTGACGTTTACAGAAGATTAATGCAGATTTTACAGAGAAACAAAACTGTTATATAGTGTCAGTAGACTTGTATGTACTGCCTTACAGATCTTTCACTGCCATCAGAGGCCAAGCTAAGCAGTTGCCAATGAATTTGTCCTCTTATCGTTGTATCAATCAAACAGAGACATCAGCACACATGTGCATGTATGAACTACCGAGGGTGAACCCCAAGCACTAATTGACTTGATAATGTGGCAGGGGCCAGCTGCAAATTAACATCGGTACTTTTTATTATATATGTAAGGAGTTATTTGACGAACAGTGAGAGGTCAGGGGTCAGAGTTGAAAAGAGGAAAAGCTATGCTAACTGCAAGAAAACTGAATGAAGAGACCAGACTGGGGGTGGTTCAAACTTTATTCCCTCATTTGAGATACCGTGCTAAAACAGAATAGTGGCTACTAAAGTTAGAAACTGAGAAATAATTTCTGACTATAATTTACTGTAGGTACATGTTTAATGGTACCTTTTGTTTGCCAGTCAGCAAGCTGATTTAATGTGTTCTTCTCCACAACAGCTGTCAGTCCCAGACTCCTCACCAATGTCTTCAGCTTGTCAAAGCAATCATTGAACAGAGCATCTGTCCACACAGTTACATCAACATGGCCCCATTTGTTTCTGACATTTTCCCTGACATCATCAGCTGAAGTCTGGGTGTGTGGAGAGAACACAACAGCAGGCATGTAGTTCCTAAATCCCAACAGACGAAGGAAGGCAGTCATGTCCAGTGAGTCATCAAAGCCTGAAAACTGAGCCAGATAACCTGGCAGATATAACTTGGCCAAATCTAAAGAGCTATTGATGTTAAAGTTGTATAAGTATACACCACGAACAAGATGATTGTTGTTTATATTTTGAAATTTCAGGTTCTTCAAGATAGGATCTGCTCGGACCACACCATGAGTTAATGTTTTCAGAGTACAAGGCGGGTGGAGAAGGTGACAGTGTCTGTCCAGATTTGCATAGTTGGTGTCCATCCCTTGTTTGACAGCATCCCGCAAAACAGGAGCAGCAACTTTGTTCATGGCAATTCCCACAACAATCCATCGTTTCTCTTCATCAGAGACCATCATCTGTATAAATAATCATGGGTAAAATTAAAAGATAAAAGATAATAAATTAAAACCTTTTAAAGCCCTAATATCAACATAAAAAAACTTCTTTTCTTTTCCACAAAATATTTTACTATGGCATTGATGATGGGGAATTTAATGTCTGAAAATCAAAGCATTTCTAATAATCCTTCAGTTGGCAGTCTTATTTTTCTTAAAAATATAATTCAGTTTTTTGATAAACCTCTCAGTTTCTCTAGTCACAAGGATCGAAGGAAAGAAAATAAAGCTGAGTGTAAAAAGTGGACATGGATTGATATAAGCTAATTAAGTGGTGTCGTTAATAACCTCAATTTCTTGAAAAGTGTCTTCTTCTACTCTGACAGTTAAAAATGGTTTCAGAAACTCCTCAAAAAGTTCCTCTTTGTCTATTCACGGCGTGCAAAGAAAGTTGTGTCCGATAGCCGGGGGCTAGTGGATTTTGCTATTGGGCTAGTGATTTTTGTTCTTAACTTGCCCAACAGTGATGTTTTTGGAGGAAATTCAAATTACAGAGGTTTGTAATCAACCCTGCTAATCAAAAAGGTATTGACCGAATGTTGCCATTGCAACTTTATAATTTCACAAGAGAACTTATAGCGGAGCTCTACAAATGCATGAAGCGGCGCGAGTGTAGCCCCATAGCTAACACAATTTGGTAATCTATCCATCCGAGAAAATTTGGTAGTCATGTGACCATATGCCCGTACGCCTGTACATCCATACACTCTTTGGAGGTGGTACTAAGTAGACTCTGAGGGTGGTACTTAGTTGACTCTGCAAGGGAGACAGGGAATCCAAGACATGCAGCTTGTGTTTGTCTTGGCAAAAAAGAAAGGTGGTTGAAGTTCACCAGCTAGAGGCAGCCAATGGAGTTTTTCTAGTGTAGATCTTGAATTTCATTTGCTTGATCAACAACAAAAACTTTGAATAATATATTTTTTAGGATGTGCTTTTACTTTGGTCACGTTTTAGCTCACGCTTTCCAGGAGTTAAAATCTTGTCTCAGATTGGTCAAAGTTTTGATCGGTGAAATCGTGAGAAAAAACTTTCACGCAGAATCTTCTAGTTTGTTTACCGTCATGTACGATTAACTTTTTCTGTCCTTTCAATGCTGCCGTAACAAGAAATAGAGCTGTTATCAAGATTCTTTCTTTGTTCATAGTTGGTTTGATGGTTTGTTTATCTTATTTGTGGTCGAGGAAAGCGTCGCATAAACAGGCGGATTCATAACTTACCCTCTATACAGTTATTTAAGAAGCATTTTTTAAAGCTCATGCATGCAGGCTTTACTTATGACCTAATTTACTGCCTTTCAGAACCTTTTCCTCACGTGAGGTTAATTAAGCTTATATAGTATTGATTTTTCTGTCTGGTTTGATTTCTTTATGATTTCGGGCATTATTATTTCCTGTCACTTACGGTGCATATTTTCTAGATTTGACTGAGATGCGATGTATGGTCTCTGGCCTATAATCAAGTTCAAATACACGTGCTTAAGCTCATAAACATTTTTTCTTGTTGTTCATGGAAACAAAAAGTTCTAAAGAATACTCAGTTGCCGTCTCAGTTGAATAAGTCTCAATAAGTTGAATAAGTCTCAAGAATGTTTAGTTATCCTAATGGTTGTAAGAAAGCTTTGAGCGTCACATTCTTGCCTTGTGTTCATCTTGAAAAGTAGCAAAACCAGCTTAAAACTTAATAAGCTTTACTTTCATATAACTGCAAGGTTTTTATTCATGACTGAGGATTTTCAGAGGCACTTCACCCTCAATCCTTGTCTTCGTGAATAAAAGTATTGTTGTCTTTTAAAATGTTTCATTGAATTATACTCCTAATGTCTTGATTGTTTATCAAGATGTCTTTCTTATCGCTTTGCCGGTTGTTTTCAGTCGTGCATGAACATCACATGCAGGAGTATTAAAAATGCCACGTGTATCAAATGTTTTTAAAGATTATGTTACTTTAGAAGTAAAATTAAAACAAAATAATTCCAAGACCTCTTACTACTAGGTGTGTTTGATTTTTTAAATAAATCCTTTTTTTTATTATTGTGAAGCATATATCTATTAGCAGGTACTGTTCACTCAAGCACTCAACAGTTCACACTGAACTTGGCACCTTTTTTGGGGGCAAAAGTCAGAAGCGGCTGGCTGGACGGGTGATTTTGGAAATTGAATTACCATTAGATTTTTTTTGAAAGTTTTTGCTCAAAGCCTATTATTACCCTGCATACTACACAGGAGTAGATTGACCTGACTGAACAGTCCTGTAGAAAAGTTGAATCCTCGAAATAAAAACATTTTATGTTATTTTAATTTTTATAGCGGAGCTCCCGCGCGCGCGAAGCGGAGCACCATGGGTAAGAAAATTTGGTAAACTATCCATCCCAGAAGATTTGGTTATGACGTAGCGTACGCCCGCCCGTCCGTACACACACTTTATGTAAGCGGATGTCAAATGCCACAATAGATCTTGCACAACTTGACTAGCCTCTTAGTTATGTAAGCCATCCGTATGAGTACGATTAGATTGACAGCTGTCAAAAGCAGACATCCGCTGACAGTTATCACATGACCGTCTCGCGGGCTCAGATAAAAGACCAGTCGTTTTGCCCCTATATATAAGCTGATATAATATGTCACACGTACCAATTCAACATAAAAACGAAACTACGCCGGGCAAGGCTGTCAGTTGGCTGACAGTCGTTTAAAGTTACATTGGCAAGCCAAATTAAGGTCAATTGACAGCTGTCAAAATGGGACATGTGCAGACCACTATCAGAAAACTAATAACGAGGGCTCAGGTTCGCTCAGGTACACGATCTGGCATTTTCCACTAAATGCCGAACGGAAATGTCCTACTCACACTCGTAGTATGTTAATTCGAATATTCGCCATTCTAATGAAGGTAAATTGACAGCTGTCAAACTAGAGTATACGCTGACCATCATCACCTAAGTGGATCGCGGGCTCATTTTTCTATCTATTGAAGTCACGTAGTGTTTAAAGTTTTGCGCTATTTTATTTGATCACGGGCTCAATTCGAAGCCCCATAGCTTTATAGAAAATCTATCCATCCTAGAAAATTCGGCAATCACGTGACCGTACACCGCCCACCCGACCTTCCGTCCATCCACACCACAGCCATACCAATGTTTAATCTCACACTTTCCAGCTAGTTTGGGAGCCTGCAACCTGATATTGTACCTCCATGTTTTGATTAATTGACAGCTGTGAAAACAGTGTTTCTGCTGACTAGTATTGCCTGACCGTATCGCGGGCTCAGGTATCGACCCTCTGAGTTCAAGTAATATTTTGAAGGTATCCGCTGACAAGTTGCTACTTTTCAAATGATCGCAGGCTCAAGTTCATTTTTTTTAAAATGCATATGAAATAAGTCGTGTTTCATGAGCCGCACTTTTAAAATGTTGATTTCGAACTGATCTTGGACACGAAAATGCAACCGGCTTTTACATTTACAAGCAGGGAAGGCAATTGCTTTTGACTTTTCTCACTGTCACGCGTTGATCACGCTCTACGTCCAATTTTTATGTTCTGATTGGTCAAAATTTGACAGGTGAGTTTATGCGGAAAATTTATGCAGCGTCTGGAAATTTGCTTACTGATAGCTGGAGCTGAGAGAGTTTTGTGTCATCTTGTGATGTTTTAAACTGTCTTTTTCTACTTGGTGTACAAAATGAAATACATGAAATACAAGAAATACAAGATTGTTCTGTAATTCGTGGCTGGTTTGTTTGTTGCGCTTTTTGTTGACAAATGCACCGCTTATCAAAGTCATTGGAAATCTGATTTCGGATGGCATCGTTTTCAAAAATGAGTTTACTCACTTGCCCTTGCTTGAGGCGTAAGAAGGTTGAAAAGTCTCAAGCGATTCTGGAACACTTGATGACCTTCAGAAGCAGCATCTCGACTGGTAAGCCTGAGCAATTATTGTCTTTGATGTGTCTTTTTTTCGGTTTCCTGCAGTTGAGCGTATGGTTTATGCGGCTTAAGTTTATACACGAGCAATGATCTAACCTACAACAGTATCAGGTTTAAAAAGCCTTTAGACAGTTTTTGACCGCAAATTCAAAGAAAAGGTTCCGAAGATTATTTAGTTATGATTTTGGCTGTAAACAGAAAGCTCTGAGCGATTTTCTTGCCTCGAGTTCATCTTGAAAAAGAGCAGACACCGGGAAGCCGGCTTAAAACATAAATAAGCTTATGCTTACCTGACTCATGATTTTCAGAGACACTTTACTCTCAGTACTTCTCTTCGTGAATGAAAATTATTGTCTCCGTACATGTTTTACCGAATTATATTTATTTTATTGATTGTTAGTAGTCCCTCTCGCAATTTTTATCGCTGCACCGGTTGTTTCCAGTCGAACATAAACATCGCATGCAGGAATACTCAAAACGCCGTGCATAAAATTCTCGCTTTTAAAGATTACACATAACAAAACCATACACAGTTTAATAAGTAAAGGGAAATAAAACCTAAACATAACAATATCTCTATCATGTTGAGGCGTAAATGGTAACTATATTAATGGCACTGCAAATTTGGTGCCTGTCAAAAGTGAGAACCCGTCCGGCTGGCCGAAAAGTGATTTTGGGAATTTTTTTTATCGTTTTCATCAAAAGCTCATAATTATTACCCTGCATATCACATAGGACCAGATTTTTCTAACTGAAAAGTCCCGGCATTATAGAATTCCCTTCATGAAAACGTTTTAAAATTTAATGCCATAATTTGTTGTGCAAAGGAAGCGCGGGCTTTGATCGTCGTGGATATTGAATGAGTGCAAATTCTCTTGCAAAATTGTGAAAAACTGCAGAATTATAGGTTTCATAGGGCAAAAAAGAACAAATTCTGTCCGAGGGCTGTATGATTTAAGAAAGGGCCTCATAGTACTGTTTACCTGAGACGTGATGAGAAAAAGTATGTTTAAAAGGCTGGTTTACACGCCACCAGAT